CTTTTAATCCATACATTCTCAACAGAGATTCATGATTGGAGAGTGTATTTGAGAATACTGGGTTTGTTTATCAAGCTCTTACTTCAAAAATTGACAACATTGAGTAAGGAAATGTGGAGACGTACATAAAGCGCGTACAGCGTTATTTAAACCGGACTTTGTCAGAGGCTGTTGATAATGAATTTGAATCATGTTTAGTCGATGAGTAAATCGATTTTAAGTTTGTATTACTCTTCGCTGAATATGACTTAAAGGAGGAGCTTGTTGCGGTTCAAAGAAGAAACTTTTCTAGATTTACATTGATTTTCAAAATTCTTTTGATTATTAGTTTTTAAATGGTTTATGGCTAATTGAAACATGAGAGCTTCTTTTATAGCGCTAAAAGAATTTTCATGAACGGTAAGAAAATTTTGAAGTGCAACATGAGAGAAATTTTTAAAAGGAATAAAACGCAGAATTTTATTGATGTGCATGGATTACAGAATGCAAGAGTTTTCATAACGATCAAGCAAGGATTTATGAGCATCTTGATTTAATGCTTCAAACTAGATAGCAAGTACTGCAATTATTCCATTTTAATCAATGTAGCATTATTGAGAGCATTATACCAAAGAATTGAAAATGCCCATACAATACGACATTCTTCAATTGCCCCGATAAAATGAGAAATTTCAATCCTGGGTAGGTTGGTGCTTTTAACTGACGAAGCAACAGGTTCTTTTAAGGGATCCTGAGACGAAAAGTTAAAAACGTGCGCCTTATTTACACAAAAGGTCATCAAAGGGTTTTTGCTCGCCTTTCAACTCAAGACCCCGTTTAGGATTACTAAGCACACTATCTCTAAACACCTCAGACAGAAGGATAAAACGAAAATGAGGGAACAATGGAACTCACTCATTGTACTCAAACAATTCAAAAAACTGCGATTCCTAACAGATTCTTAGCAGAACATTGCAAACCAAATGGACATCTGAACAAGATAGGTACAACCCAACACGGCACGTGCAGATTCTGCAAAGAAACAGAGGAAATACCAATACACCAACTAACTGTGGTGGTACACTTGCCCGAAGGAGGAAGCGTTTTGGGACAAACAACGTAGCCGTAGAAGAGATTCAGCCACTGAAACCGGGCCTAATAGTTGCGTTCCTTGATGAACTAGGACTTATCGGTGTCATTTAAGCCAGGAACACACTTACCCGATGCTATGCCATGCGACGCTACCCGATGCTACCCGACGCCTTGCCACGTTTTGGTGGGGTGTGCACATCTATCCGACGCAAGCACACGTCGTGTACAGTCCACAGCCTTTATCACAATAATCACGATCACAATCGCAACGCATCTTTTGTTCTTAATACACTATTTTGAGCAAAACATTGTAATAAATTGTTAGTTAAATTTTATGAGCACAACCATCTAATAAATTGTTTGTTAAACTTAATTGTTTGAAATAAAGTTACTCGTAACCATCATAATTAAACAATGATTATAAAAACTTATGCATTTTTATCTCGTTTAATTTGGTTTACATTAAAATAAAATGTTGTAATTAATATAACGACAAAATTACATATACTTAGTTTGAAATAAACTACAAAAAATATGAGTGTCCTGTTATGTTGCTACCCGACATTATAAAATGGTGTAATATTAAGAGCAAAACTATGAAATAAATTGTTAATTAAATTTTATGAGAAAAACCGTGTAATAAATAGTTCAAATTTTAGTATATGTACCGCCGAAGCGAGTACAATAAATTGTTAGTTAAATTCATTATATCAATTGTATTCCGGTGTTTTGATTAATTTTCTACCAAGCCATTAAAATTAATTTTTTAAATAAAAACTAATTAATTGTTAATCACAGTTAATTTGGTTTATATGAAAATAAGTACCTTGTAATTAATATAACGACAATAATACATGTAGTTTGAATAAAAATATGAGTGCCCGGTGACGTGCAGAGCGACGGGTAGGTTAGATGTGCAAGGGGGTAATGCAACCTTATGGAAAATCGAAGTTTGGATTTGCGTCGGGTAGCATCGGGTAAGTGTTTCTGGCTTTAAGCACAGAATGGGCGATACAATAGATCTTAAAGAGCACGGTACAATACACACCCCAACTAATGCATCTACATCTACATTTAGGATTACTAAGCAACATAGAAATTCACAACACTGTCTTGAATCGCTCTACTCTTTCATAAATGTGTGCATATGATTGAAAATTAGAAGCAATAATCGCCTTCATCGATTCCGAATATTGTTCAAGTCGCGAGAAGATTTTTTCTCTCTTCTCCTTAAGTTCATAAAACTTCTAAATAATTCCTTTGGAGCGAATTTCTCGTTATTTTTGTATTTACAAACATTATAAGAGTAGGATTGTAGAAGATACAAACAAGGGATATCTGTACTTATCATAATAAATTTGGCATATAAAGTAACTCAATAAACACTTTGTATAAAGAATATTTGATTTCAATTGATACAATTTGTAAGCAAGATTATATTTCCAATTCTTACTCAGGATAATTTTCTCTATGGGAAAAGCGTAATGAGATGCGATTTCAGCAGTCAATATAAGAAACTAGTAAATAACAACTTAATCTTATGTTGATTCTGTAGTTTAACCGGACGTTATTAATGCATCTTTCAGTTAATTAATCTTTTTATGTAAGGTTTTGTTCAAATGAAAAAGTTAGTGTCAAGGATTCGAACCAACGACCTTCGGCTCAATAGCCGCTGCTCTTGAACCGAAGATCGAAGGTTCGAATCTAACTCCTGACAATAACATTTTCATTTCAGACTAGACCTTACAAAAAAAAGATTAATTAATTGAAATATAATTTGGTCAATACACCACTAATTATAATGGAATTATTAGTACTTATAAATAAATATTGGTATAACACATTACACACTGGGCTTCACCCTGAAGTACCTAAGGGCAAAAAAGCGATAACGAACATTGATTCACTTTCGTTAAATTATTTTTTATTGCTTTCATATTAAATCTTTTTAAAAATGTACAAATGTCAGTGGTGGGTTAAGTAATGCTAAACCGGCATTGGGTCCGTCTTCATTCGCGGGTTTGTCGAATTACTGAAACAATTACGCAAACAAAGCGTTGCGCCATCTGCAGTGAGCAAACGTCTGTCACTTTGATCGAATAGGGCTTGTATGTCATTGGGTCCGTCGGTTATCGATGGGCCTATGTGAAAGAGGGAGTGGTAATGATATTCATCGGGATGTCGTTAGTCATGCAAGCACAATAGAAACAAGCATGACTTTAATACATAACGCACAAGAAGGAGGAAAACTCAACTTTCTATATAACCTATGGATGTAAAACTTAAAGACAAAAAACTTATAAATAACAAATTAATTCACATTCACAATTTTAATGCCACTAAACTACTACACAACAAAAAAACGCAAATGTTCAGTAGAAAACAACATTGAACCCACCTAAAAAAATAACTGAGAACGAAAATAACCGACATCACGACCGGCCAATCAAGATCAGGACCACGGCAAACACCCTTTGTTACAACTGCCGGACCCAACTACATACAAGCCATAATCAGACAAGTTGACAGACAATTCCCTGAAGTTCAGTTTGAGTAGTTCAACAACTTCCAAGAGTGAAGATGGACCCAATAAGTGACCCAATGCCGGACAGCATGAAAATTGACTAATTGAAGATTTCACATTTTTTACTTGTTATAGAGTATTTATTCAATGTTCGAATTTTTGACAAATTTTGTAACTGTTATTACTTTTTTGTACTGTTGTCACTAGATATAAAGAACAAACATAAAGTATAACGAGAAAGGAATCGTAACATTTTCTATGATATTTTTGACAAGACCCACGACTATTGTTTCCCCATCTGGTCTCGTTAAATGCCCAGCGCTGTTGTTCGAATGTCAGCAGTTTTTGCCTTAGATTATTTAAATTAAAAACGACAAAAGAACTCTTACCCCCTTCAGAGAGCAGGTCGTTTCGGGAGAAGACCCCTTTTTTTCCCCATGCTGGCTGAATGTGGGTTTAGCTTCCACTGGCCCAAATCGATCGTGTGCAAATATGATATGGCAACATCCTCAAAGGGGTTTCTTCCATCCGAAAAACGAAGGTATTTTGGCCTTTTCAACCGTTATCACAGCGAATTGTAATTTCTGAGCGATCTTTCCTATTGAAAATAATTTTTTTGACAAGGAGAAGAAACTACACGGTTAAAGAATATAGGGTTAACTAGCCAACTTTAAGCAACCTTAAATGCTGCTTTTGAATTGTGTACAGATAAAGGTTTTATTGCTAAGTAACGAAATAATAATAAAACACTGACTCATTTTATATTTTTCACTGAAAAATTTTATTAACTAATATTTTATGACGTTATTCTGAAAATGGTACAATATAAACCCTCTCAATATTAATAAAGACTTCGAATTTGCGTCATTCATTCATTATACCCCTATTTATACCATCTTTAGCTTTATTAAGGTGTAATTATTGAATAAATGATATTGATTAGTAGAGAAACTATTCATAATTCTTCCATAACAAGGCTGTAAATGATTAAAACAGTAAAACTGCCCAACAATGAAGAATAAAAAGAAAAAAAAAATTTTATTTTTTAATGATCTAAATGTTTCATAAATATGGTCAATAAAAATATTGGTTTGAAGTGGACAATTTTGTCGATTAAACAGTTTTATCTAAAGCTAAAATTATAAATTTAGTTATTATTAATGAAGACGTTCCGAATTGGTTTTATCTCGTCGATTTATTTTAGCTGGCGAGGTCTTTTATCTGTTGAACCGCGACAAACTTCCCACTACGTTATCATGTTTCAATTTTGCAACTTACCCACTTTCAAGTTCAAATAAATCGTAAAGTTTCGAAATGACACCCGACTTCGTTAACACAAACATGTAATTCTACAATTTATTTAATTTGATCATATTAATGTATATTTTTTTATTGTTTTAACTAGAATCACTTGATGATGTCTTGATGCAAGATGAAACAAGATGACGCTCTCGCACAGCAGGAAGAGAGTATTCAACTCCTTTCACCACCCGTAGTCAAAGGTAAATAAATAATTGTTTAACAATGAATGGAAGAATTATTGTTCTTTTGATTTTGTAAAGGGGAGATAAGCCCTAAAAGCGGTCTCAGCGTTACGATTCTCGAATTGTCATCAACTTCAGATGGGGCTTTGGAACAAACGGCGGTCAACGGGCAAAGGAGGGACAGCAACGTGTCCGAGAATTATGCAGCCGGCAGTAAGTACTGTAAATTTCTTCCAAAATCTATGTTCTACACTAATCCCTCCCAAAAAATATCAATATGTAGTATGTTTTCTCGATTATTCTGGTCTGCTCATCCTCAGTGATTCACTGAAAATGATGTGCGGCGGAAATACGCCTGGCAGACCAAAAAGAAAAAAAATGATCGGAAATGATCAAATTACAGGTTCATCCCCCAGACACCAAGAAGAAATCTTACAAATAATCTGTATAGTTTCTTTTCAAAGAGAAGTAATATAACAACCGATAGAGGTTTTATGCAGGCACGGTAAAGTGGAATTGGTTTATGACTTAGCTTACTTTGAACATAAAATGTGATCTAAAATAAGTTCTTTAACGTGACTATCTTTTTTTATAACTATATCCCATGTTCAGAAAATATTGAACAGTTCATAATAACTTTAAAAAAAGTAAATATGGAAATAAAATGAATAGAGTTAAATAACTAATGCTATCGCATGAAATTCTTCATTTGGCGTTTTTCGGACTAAGAATAGTCCACGTTGTGTTGTGTCTACATGTTTTATCTGAGTGATGTATCTATTAGCGTGAATGGCGAGGGGTGAGGGTGAAATATAACGTCATTATCGCACCTCGAACGTTGAGAGCGTAAGAGTGTGTATTCGAGATCGATGGCGGAATATTTATAAAAGTACTCCATTGACCCCAATCTAGATTAGCTTAAGTATAGGTCGGTGGAGGAATATCAAGTACTCCACCGACCAAACGGAATGAGTGTACTGTATGGAAGTATTTATTTGTATGAATGTAGTGTTTGAAAGTGTAAATAGAATACAGACTTAAAAAAAAGAAAAAAGTCCACGTTTGTAAACGATGGTTCAATTCACATATTTGTTGTTTACATCGATCTGGATTTCAAGCATTGAACGGTCATCATCAGATTAAAGGAGTTACAAGCACGCCTCTCCACATGAATTGTACGCGCGCTTTTTTTTTTGTCCATCGGACAACAAATCTTTATTTACTGGACTTACATTGTTGTATAGGATATAATGAAATTGTGTACGTGCACCGGATATTGGCCCGGCGACTTAACTGCTGGGTGCGTGTGGGATCTCCCTCAGTGCGACAGACACGGATTCTGCGTAAGAAAGTGCGGTCAATCACGCAACATGGTTGCTTAAACTTTTTAGACTTAAACCTGTCCATAATAAATAATCTAATTGATTTAATTATACGGAATTAATCTAATAAATAAACCTGAATAAACAACAAATAAATAGACATATGGAAAACTCAAAACACTATGGTTTTGACCAGCAGATTCTTTTCACTCATCAACCCAAAATCGGACTCAGTCACCCCACTAAATCTGAATCTGTTGCTTGCCATTAATTGGTGGACGATCAGAAAAAGTGGGTAAAATTCTTAAAGTCGAAAGTTTTAGAGTAGCTTTTAAACGTAAAAACTCTCAAACCTATAGACAAGTTTCAATTAATTAATCTTTTTATGTAAGATATTAGTTGACGTTAGACTAAAAGTTAGTGTGACGAGCGGGATTCGAACCCACGACCTTCGGCTAAATACGCCGCTGCTCTACCACTTGATCTACGTGACTTCGATCCACTCGGACACCAACTCCCCATCTCAAACTACAACCTTTCGAATTTTCTCTCCTTTTAATAAGCTATTAGCTTTATAAAAAGATCAATTAATTGAAAGAAGTTATTCGGTCAATAGAATATAATGGACCTAAAGACAAGTTTGACAACGAGTCAAAAATTGAGTATACAAACTTAATTGCAATGACTGCATATTAAACACATTGGACAAAGTGGCAGAAAACTTAAAACGCGAGTTAAAGAACAGTTGACTTAATCGGACAAATTTTCTGAATTAAGGGCATCTTAACTTTTGCTCAAACGTGAGGCCGAGAAACCTCGACTGATCTAAATACCTACCATGTGCTCGGCATGTAGAGAAGATAGATGTAGATGTGATATTTCAGGGTGTGGTATACTGCGCCCTTTGAGAGCTATTGTATCCCCCGTTCTCTGCCTAAAGCACATCGGTGAGTCCTATTTCATCAAGAAACTTGATTAATAGGCCCGGTTTTAATGATTGAAGCTCTTCTATGGTCACATTGTACATACCAAAACACTTCCACCTGCGGGCTAATGTAGCTCCGCAGTTTGTTAGTAAGTGTGTTGGTGTCTCTTCTGCTACCTTGCAGAATCTACATGCGCACAACGCACAATGCGGGCCCGACCACTCGGAATGGACAAGCGGAGAGCGTGGCTACTGACCCTTAGGGGCCGGGACACCACTACACCAATGCTGCGGCGTTAACACTTTTCCGTCATATGCAGAGGTGCGTCAGCTCTCATCTTGAGAATCAACACGTCCGATAAGGCCGTATAGGCTAGGTGCGGACGTTAAAGATCCTCTTGTCTTGTTGACGATGAGTAAATCGGGATATTAGTTTATTATCGGGATACACCCCTAATTGTTATGATTTTTTAATGTAATGGGTTTGTACCACAAATATTTATTCAAAACACATGAAATAAATCTTTTTCTTCATTAAACTTTAAAAATTATAGACACATGGGATAAAATCAATTTAAAACAAGGTTATAATACTTTGTGGCATTACCACTCAGTATTATTATTTCCAGTAATCTTTCTGGAATGGTTTTGTACAAATTTTGAATAAAATCTTTAGGCAAATTATTCCAGGCAGTGGTAACAGCTGTTTTAAGTTCGTCGGCGAGGTTGTACAACTTACAGTCTTGATATACCGTCTTCGATAATTTTCCCCATACATTTTCTATAATGTTCAAGTCTGGTGAGAGTGTAGGCCATTCAAGTTTTTCAATGCTGTTCGGTGAAAACAAGTCTTTAATAATTATTGCATCGTGTATGAGTGCGTTGTCCTGCTGGAATATTAAAGTCCCTTCGCATAAATCGCTGAAACTAGTTTTTTCTTTGTCCAGTAATTTCTTGTAATATTCCGACTTGACTTTTTTTTTAATAAAACAAAGATTCCCTTTTTTATTACACCCAATGCACCCTCAAATCATCAAAGATCCACCACCCATTTGGCGCCTTGACAAAATTTTTTCTTCTTTAGTTAGATCAAGAAAGTAGTATGCGTATCCCTCCGGGCCGCCCAAATTGATTTTTTTTCGTCAGAAAAAATAACTTTTCGCCAATATTCTTCATTTTTCAAAATGTATTTTTCAGCAAATTTGAGACGGGCTAGTTTGTAGAGGGGTTTCAGAGCTGGTTTGCGTTTCGGTTTTCTTCGGACTATGTTTTCAGTTTTTTTTAAAGGAATCTCTGAACAGTTCGAACAGAAACATCAACAACTGCCTTCGATGGCTTTTGCAGTCGAAAAGCTGTTTGAAGCAACGCGCAGGATGTGCGATTTGTCTGTTCTGGTCAAAGAAGGAGGTCTTCCAGAGCTATGCTCTCTTCCGTAGTCTTCACCTAGCCGTATTATCTTCGATACCGATGAAAAACTTCGTTTTATGCGTCGGGCGATATCTCGACAGCTCATTCCATCTTCATTGAGCAAGTGAATCAACCGGCGCTCCTCTTCAGAAAATCTTCTTCCTTTGGGCATTTTAAAATAACTTTGAATTGCTCCAAATGAACTCACAGTCATCACTTTACTAAGGCACGGTACAGCGAATACTGAATAAACCTTTGGAGTTATAAAATAAAGGTAAACAAAATATGTGTCTATAATTCTGTCGCAGCTAAATCAAAACAATACTGTGTATTGAGATGTACATTTGTATCTTGATTATCAGATCAAGCCATTTCCAGAGTTAATTTTCTTTTAATATCATGAACAAAAGAAATCATTTTTGACTGTTGGAATCGTGATTTTTTAATGTGTTTATAATTTTGTCACTCCGTTGTATTTATAGTAGATGATGGGGTTTGGTCTGCGAGTTGGCGAACTCATGTTGAACCGGCACACGGGCACTACTGGGTCTGTCTTCACTCGCGGGTTTTTGTTTGAGTTATTCAAACGCGTTTCGGATTACGCCAAAAACAGTTCAGTTTTTCACTGAAGATGGCGTAATGCCGAAACGCGTTTGAATAACTCAAAGAAAAACCCGCGAGTGAAGACAGACCCAGTAGTGCCCGTGTGCCGGTTCAACATCCGTTGTATTTATTATAACTTACAAAACCTGGAATTACCGGTGGATTGCTACAAGTGTTAGGCACTCTGTACACGCGTGCATATATGTACATTCGTGTGCAGATTTGAGCTTATATAAATGAGTAAACCGTAACCAGTCATCTTCATTTGGTCCAAGAACGACTAGACACATGACTCACTTTTAGGTTTATCAACAGAACAATGTGTTTCTAACGAAGATTTATAATCATAAGAAAGATTAGAGAAACTTAACGTAATTGCAAAACGAACATTAAATATGGTACACACTTGGCTGTAATTGAAATTAAACTTCAAGGCGGTATTAACCGCGGTCTGATTAATCGTGATACGTTTCTCCGCTTTGTTTGTCCTCTCATAAATAACGGTTTCACGTTTCAACGTGACGTCGTTCCAGACGCGTAGGTCTAATGGATCGGCATTGAAAGATACTGAGCAGACGTTTTCGCCCTTTTCTTCGCAATTAGGCCGCTTTATGTCCGTGATTAATAGCCTTCTCGGATTTTCCTTCGTCTTAAATTTTTGATTTTGGCCGGCATTTTATGAATTTTTTTAATCAATATTTAGATGAATCGATATAGAGACCTCTCCATAAAATTCAGAACGGATAGACCTGTAAATATTTTGTAATACAAAATATAAGACTAATTTAAAATTTTAAATCTGAGTTATATTGCTAGAACTTCAGCCGAGGCGAGGCGTGAATTTAACTAAAAGTTTTACAGAAAAAAGTTTGTTATATTTGCATTTCCAATCGGTTGATTTTCAATGGTTCCTGGGATAAAATGACTTTTCTCGCGACCTGACCATCAGTTTTAGT